TACATGCTTGAACGTGTCGTCGAATAGTTTCTCGCATTTTAGGCCACCAGTAACGAGAAGCCAGCTTTGAGAACATTTTATCAGTGGAGAAATGACCACCTTGATAAGGATCGTCATGCATGGCAGTGAGAAGTGATTTGATCATTGAAGTGGGAAGATAAGGAACTGCAGTTTTCAAATGTGAATTAGGAGATAATATAACAAGTTTGTGAAGAAGTTGATCCTTAATGATGAAGGAGGAATATGAATTTAATTTGTTATTTGGATTGTTTAGCTGAGTAATGATGCACCGAATATCAGGATCTTTATTTTGTTCTTGTTTTAAATCGTTATAGTTAAAATTGTTCGGTGACGGAGAAGTAATAATTTGAGAGGAAGTCGCAGAATCGGCCGTATGAAATGCGTCGGCCTTGAATTCTGCTTTCGTGACCTCATTATCGGTGTCAGCGTTGTCGCTAGAAGGAGGAGGAGGTAGTAGTTTATGTCGAGGACGAAGAATCATAGGTGAAATACAGTTTGTAGAAGGCAGTGAGATGGAGATAGTTGAAATGGTAGAAGGTAACGGTTGTTTACTTTCAACTCCGTAAGGAATGTCGAAGAGAGGATCATCAAATGGTCGAGAGAGAAAATCTGGTAAACAGTTACTCTTACCTGTAATGTGTTTCATTTCTGCAATGTTATATTCCTGGATCAGATTTGCTACACGTTCTATACGTCGGTTGTTTATTGGTTTTTTCAAAAGCCCACAAATTGGACAATGATCAGTGTGAATGTACACAGTTCGTCCTAAGAGATAAGTGCGCATGCGTTGTAAATTGGAGAAGGCTCTTGACTGTTCTTCTGTCCACTTGAATAAATGTCGTTTGTTTTTTGTTAAATTTGTTACCTTATGAATAGGAGCAGCCATATGTGCAAATTGAGGAACGAATTTTCGATAGTAAGCTAATCCACCTAGGAACTTGTTAGCTTCCTTCAGTGTACGAGGTTCTCGGAGATCGAGTATAGCTTGAATGGCTTCATTGTTAGGAGTAAGAGTGTGTTCAGAGATGATATGCCCAAGGAACTCTACCTTGGTGACGGCTATCTCACATTTTGAAGGATTAAGAACAATTTTGTTGTTAGTAAATATTTCAAAAGCTAGCTTTAAATGATGAAGATGTTGTTGGAAAGTTTTCGAGTAGATGATAATATCATCAAGATAGACACGCGCGAAGTGACGGCAAGGTTTGAAGAGATTTGACATAGTTTTTTGAAAACAGGGTGGTCCATTTGTCGGTCCCATAGGTAGTACTGAAAATTCGTAGTGTCCGGAAGAGACGACAAATGCAGTTTTTTCTTGATCTTCTTTTGGAATTTGAAATTGATGATAACCACTTTTAAGATCTAACTTGGAGAAATATTTGAAACCTTTACCAAGTTCCTGTAATGTATCTTCGATGTGAGGCAAAGGGCTCACATCAGGTATGGTGATTTTGTTGAGAGCTCGGTAATCGACGACCCGACGACCAGGTCGATTGTCTTTTCGGGGAACGATAAAGGCCGGGGCCGCATAAGGAGAATGTGATTCGTGAATAATTCCAGCGTCGAGAAACTCATCAATGAGCTTTTGTGTCTCTTCCCTGTGATGAGGATTGCGATGTGGCCGAAATGCTGGTGGAGAGTGAGGAATGGTGTTAAAGACGTGTTTGATGAAAATCTTAGAAATATTGTGTTTAGAAGTGTCGAAAAGGTTAGAGAATTGAGAAAGAAGAGATAAAACCTGATTTCGTTGATCTTCATCTTCGAGTTTTTCGACGAGTTTAACAAGATCTGATGGTAGAGGTGTAGAGAAAGATGTGTGTGGAGTGGTGACTGTCGCTTGTAGGTGTGATGATAAGATTTGGTTTTTAGGTGAAGTTGTTTTAAAAATATGTTGTGGAAGTTGTTGATGAGTGAACGAAGTCGAAGATCGAATTTGTTTGTTTCTTTTCTCATTGTATTTGTCACAAAGATCAGAAATCTGATCGAAGAATGATTTTTGAGGTGGAGGTATTGTCAGATACCCGAAACAGAAATGTTGAAGAATGGTTTGAGTAAAAGCGGAGTGATTTGTGACAGATAAGGAAGATATGTGATGCGCAATAATAACGTGTTTCTGTTGTGTTGATAAATATGGGTGTTCCAAAAAGGCCGATGTAGGAATAAAGGTTGATGACAGTGAGGAAACAGGAGTAGAGACAAAAATGTCCATTGTGGATTTTGGCGGCAGAAGAACGTTAGAAACGGACTGAATAGGTACGAATGGAGGGCGAAGCGTTTCATCAACATTGAGAGTTATTCGTCGACCATTTTTTTTAATTGAGAACTGACGAAGCTCCACGTCAATTTTGGCAGCGACGGAAGAGAGAAAATCGATGCCCAATATGAGGTCGACGCAAAGTTTTCCAGTAACAAGTGCGGAGAAGGATATGAGTTCATTTGCAATTTGCATGGAGAGTTCGACGTTTCCGAGTACACGAAGTGAAATGAAACCGTCGGCAAGTAAGAAGGAGTGAGGCGTTTGATTGATGAAACAAACGTGAGACAGACGAGACAAAGCTTTTTGACTGATACAAGTAGCAGAGGCACCAGTGTCAATTAGTAGTTGAAGTGGAACATCGTTAATGAGGAGCGAAGTATAGAGTAAGGCAGATTTTGATGGATTTAGTGGAGGCTGTTTGGAGACAGAACCACCAGACTCTGACCCCCATTTTAAAAAGGACAGTCAGGAGTTGAGTGTCCTTGCTGATTACTCGACTGGGAAGGAAATAGTTGTTGCGGTGGAGTTTTAATTTGAGATGGAGGCATCAGGGGAGGTATCGATGGTTGGTGCATTTCAGAAGTGGCTGAGGTATAAGCGAAAAGGTTTTGTTGTCGCGGTGACTTGGGTGGATTGTAGTTTGAGGATTGCTGACTTCCTTGTTGATATTTTGGAGAGGACGTAAATCGACGAAAAGCTGTGTTAGAAGAGGGACGTTGAGTGGGTGTAAAGTTATATTGTGTTCGATGATAATAGTAATCCGAGGCAGGTGATTGTTGTGTAGCGGAATAATTATAGTAATATTGCGGTGAAGAGGTATAAGTAGTCACAGTTGATGGAGCATTTGTTTCATATGCTTTTAGTGTAAGAAAAGTATTTTCAACGTCTATTGCAATTTGTTCAAATTCATCTGCATCTGTAGCTTTAAGTTTTAATATTTCCGGACGATAAGTCGGATTGACTGAGCGAAGGAGAAAGTCAAGTTTCATTTTGTTGCTCATGTCTGGATCATATTCTTTGCATAACTTTCGTATCACGCTGCAAAAACTTCTAATATCTTGATCTGCTGATTGATTATAATACTGTAGTTTTTGAAATGCAAGTTGCGATCGATTAGGAGAATCATAGACTTTTTTAAATTGTTCAACAAAATCTGGCCACGATCGATTAAGTGATGTTTTTCGTTCGATGAACCAATTGAGAGCTCCTTTTTCTAGCAGTTCAGTCAGATAGTCAAACTTTTTAGCATCGCTAATTTCTGCTATTTCGAACTTGCGTTCCAATTTTTCAAGCCATTTGATAACATCTTGTTTATGTTCACCAGAGTATTTTAGAGATTTATCTTCTTGAAATTGAGCAATGATGGACTTTCGATATTCATTTTGAGTTAAATAATCTGCTGATTGAGTAAATGTAATCGATGTTGTTGGTAAAGATGGGGTGGCAGTCAGATTAGGATCGAGACGTGTTGAATTAGCTACTGGTTGAGGCATAGAGAGTGTTAAGTTAGAGATGGAATCAAGTGATGCGAGAGTTCGCAAAGGAGCTTTACCAGCTGCATGTAAGAGAAGTTTTTGGAGATCGTTGAAATTATGAATTAGATCTTCATGAGCACTATAGATATCGAGTGCTTGTTCAGTAAGAAGAAAACGTATAGCAAAGACTTGATGAGCATCGGGGACACATTCTTTGGCAAAAAATGCTCCAGTATCTCGTAACCAATCCAAGAGAGTTTCAGGATCACCATTGTAAAATGGAACTATTTGCATAACTCGTTGTCTAAATTTGATCTCGTTGGCGATAGTGTCGAAGAGAGGTTGATTGTTGGCTGTCATTTTGCTTTTCTGTATTAGTGTTTGAGAAGAAGAGGTTTTTGGAATTGTTGATTGGTATTCGGTGGGTATGGTTAGAAGTGTCTTAGGTACTGGATCTTCATCTTCAGGGTCTGACATAATGGAAGAGAAGAAGATGTTGGAAAAGACGAGGTACAGACCAGAGATGTTGGTGAGTGATTTTTTTTTGACCCGACCCGCAAACCCGACCCGTTGGACGTCAAACCCGACCCGCTTGACGGGTTGAGCAATATTTTTTTCGGCCTACGGGCTACTTCACGGGTTGGCGAAATCTTCAACCCGTCACGGGCTGCCCGCGGGTTAATGCAAATTTAATTGCGATAGTATTTAGAAAAAATTCACAAGTTTAGTAAATCGATAAATTCGTTTTTTGTATTCATTTTATTAAAACAAATATGCCATTAAAGTATTTTCTTTTATTTCTGAGTACATTCATAAGTATTACAAAATTTGAAGTTCAGCTCAGGGAGATAAAGAGTCCAGGGAAAGTAATAGCATATGCTCATGTTCACAGTGTTAAAGAATTGACAGCTCCTATTATGATGATGATAATAACAGCTGTTCAAAAAAATTGAGAATTTGATAGACTATATATCATTCATTCTCGTTTCGTAAAGTGGTCGAACTAATAACAAGTCTTTCAATAAGCTTG